TCAGACCCAGAAAGTCACAAGTTTTTGGAGCTAGGACTTCATTCTCTTTACGCTCTCTCTCTCTCTCTCTCTCTCTCTCTCTCTCCTCTCTCGCCCGTCCTCTTCCTCTCTCCCTCCAAGTCACTAGACCAGAAAAAGAAAATATGAAAAATTTCGCGCTCCACTCATTTTAAAGGTCCGATGAAGTCATCGTCTGTCGCCTCGACATTTCAAAAATTGTAATGACGGTTTCGATAGTGTTTTAGTGCTTTTTTGAAGCCAGTAAAAGCCCGGTCACAAACCACCGGAAGCCCATTGTCGGTCCCCTGAAAGGCCTCGAGAAGGCATCAAAGCCAGCGGAATCGGGATGGGGTGTCGTATTCCCTTTAGTGGGCACCCATCCGGGCCCTTCCCCCCTTTGGGTCCTATTGATCCCCCTCCTCCCTTCTGGCCACCACACGGCCATCGACTTCCACCCCCTCAGAGGGCCCTCTTCCTCTCTTGCTCCTCTTTTCCAAAGAATTCCGTTTCGATACTCTGCCCCCTCCGGGGCTTGTGCATTCACACCATTTCCTCAGAAAGGAGGGGATGCTCCCTTCTCTCTCTCTCTCTCTCTCTCTCTCTCTCTCTCTCTCTCTCTCTCTCCTCTTTTGGTCATCGACCCCTATTGTCTCACGCTAAAGCCGCAAATGCCCCACTTCCAAGGCCCCCTAACACCCATGTTTGGGACATCCTTCAAGTTGTCCCGTCACTTTTTTGGGAGGGTTTTCGAGTTTTTTGGGCTTCAGGTTGGAAACGACTTCTTTTCCAACAGTTTAAGTTTTATTTAAGCATTCGGTTCTTTTTTCAAGTTTTTATCCTATTCCTTGTCGTTTTTTCACTTCCTTGTCCTCGTCGCCAGGGAAGAACCCTCCGCATGTTTTTCGCGTGTGGCTCAAATTTCAGCTAGGAGTGGGGCACAAGACAAAGGTTGCTCCCAGCGTCGTCGCGGCCTTGTTTTAAATTAGTTTTTGACAAAACTTGGCTGTGGCAGTAATTCCACTCTTCGGAAAAGCTCCATTTCAGTTTGAGGGATTAAAAGACCGGGAATCCTAGTACCGGACGAGGAAATATTCTCAGTCATTAGCAAACTTTCCAAAAAAAAAGGCAGCAATCCAGACAGTAAAAATGCCGAAAGCCAATAGTCTGAATCCCGGGAACGAAATTACCGACATGCCAAAAACCCGACGGCTCGAGAAACGCGGCAGCCAAAATCCCGACAAGCAAACAGCAGTTTAAGATGAAGTAGCATTCAAAGTAACTTCAAGTATGTATCGGGATTTTGGCCGTCGGGATTTTGCATGTCGGGGTTTTGGACTGTCGGGATTTTTGATTGTCAGGATTGAGGCTGTCGTGGTTCTTGCTGTCCGGATTCCGGCTGTCGCTACTATGGTTGCGAGGATTATGGCCGTATGAATTTTCGTCTGTCGGCATTTGGCAGTTGAGATTTTGGCGTCGGGGTTTCTCGGTCGGGATCTTGGCCTTCAGGATTGTCATAACGGAGTGGGTCTGGGCGCTATGCCAGAGACACACCCCAGTTACGATCTTCCCATGTTGGGGCTGTTACTACTCTTCTAGTTAGGAACCCTAATCCTAACTTAACTGGCTCCGCGCCATAGGTTGTGCGATAAGATGTCCCAGATACTAACTACGACTAAGGATACGAATTTGTGACGTTGAGACTCTTTTGACTTGGAGGAAACTCATGAGAAGGTCTTAGTGTATAAAGTGTATTTTTAACCCACGGACTTATTATGAGGGGTTTATTGGAGTAACTTAAATTGTCATATAAAAACTGGGGCGGGATAGACCGAGAAAGGAAGTCGGCCGGCGCGGATACAGACCCTAACAAAAATGATTCTTAAAAATTATAAAGCATGAAAAAGGGACGGAACCAAGTCGGCCCGAGAGGGCAGATAATAGTGCCGCAGGCACCATTAAGCGTATGTACCACAACCATTAAGCGTATCTACTACAGGATGTTGGCTGTCGGGGTTAAGACTGCCGTGATTGTTGCTGTCGGGATTTTGGCGTGTCGCGATTTACGCACTCTGGATTTCGGTCTGTCGGGTTTAGGCATTCGGGTTTGTGGCTGCCGGGATTATGGCGCGAAATCACATTTTCCATGCTTTCCGCTCATACTGCTTTTCTATGGCACATTTACGCATTCGAAAAAACAGTCATAAATGTTTTAAATTAAAAGAATTTCCTAAATTTCGCCAAACCAACTGAAGCGTTGCCCTCGTAACACGAATTGTTACCTTTTCTCCGGATATGGATGGCCATTCCCGGGTCCTCAATCATCCCCTCTACCCCCATATTTACACAGCCCCCACCTCGTTGGATATGAACGGCCTGTCTCGAGAATCCTTTTTATTTCTATTTCCCAAAAAAATAAGGCAGCTATGATGTTCAGCGTCCGCATGGGCTGATGCGTTGCTCGGCCGCCGTGTGGGAGCAGTACGGCTACGCTCGTGAAAAGCTACAGAACCAGCTCGCGCACAAGATACGCTCACAGATGGCCGCACTGGTAGGGGATTTTTTGATGGTTATGGAGCTTTAATAAGTCTGAAATTTTGTATAGCAAAAATCGTTAGCGCTGTTTTAAAGAGCTTGTGAAGCCAAATCTTTGCGATAATTGATTTTTGACGAATAATTCCTCCGACAAAATGCAGATTTTGGGATTCTTAGCACTTTTTAGGAATTTTTTCTTTCCAAATAGTATAAAATAGCTATTTTTTAAACCTAAAGTATTTTTGAGTTGCTAATTGGTCTGAAATCTCAAGAAAATCTTGTAAAACTCTGAAACTTTTGTTTTCGCTTAGAAACTAAAATTCCGAGTTTAGCTGGTACGCTGTATCTTAATTATCCTTATTTTTTCTATAGCTAAAACGTCGCGTTCAAGTAAATTTTTTATAAATAAAATCGAGCCCGTAATAGCATGCCAGTTTGTGTCAAAAGTCCAAGTGGTTTTCGCGGAATACCTGAAGTCTTTGAAGTGAAATCTAATCAAGCAAAGTAAGGGTTTTAGAAGATTCGTATTTTTAGGTAGGAAACATGGATTCCGCAGACTTACTCCTCGTGGCGGCTGACGGGAAAAAGTTGCCGGCCCATGAGTGCATACTTCGAGCACGAGCTCCCGGATTTTATCAGCGCCACATCGAGCCTACCGTAGTCGCGATGGGACCGGCGGTTGGAGGGAAGATTAGAGAGGTAAGATTCAGATGATGGTAGGGTCAACGGCACTTAAAGCGCACGTTCAGGGAGGGGCCGTATACTCGTCCCAACGTGTACACCCTATGGACGTAGGGACGGCGCGCACTGCCTGCCCGTGCTGTGACAGGCCATTTCCCTCCTTTGCGGCGTGGGGCGCCCCTCATCCCCTCGCCAGGTTGTAGCTGTGGCTGACTGGTATCCATCCGCGCCACCCGAGCGGGGGGCCCGGGTTCGATCCCGGCCGCGGCAAAAATCTTTGCTTTTTCCAAAAAAACGTCCCTGAACGTGCCCTTTAATTTTTGATTTTGGCTAGTTTGGCTGGTCCTTAAAGGGACAAAGCCAAAAGTATAAAAAAAAAAGCTTGATCAATTTTTCCATGTCCAGGTAGCAGTTGGTGACATCGACTCGTCGGGGCTGGAGTTCTTCATCCATTCTGTGTACACAGAAGACGAGATCGCCCAGTTTCCGCCTGACGTCGGGGAAACGGTCGACGAGGAACCCAGTGAGTTTTATACTTTGCAGATTTCATGTAAAACTCTTATAGGGGATTTTTGTAAAAAAACATGTGCTAAAAATGAGCAATTCAACCCCACCCAAAAACACTTTTTTTTGAGGTAAGAGTTCAGAGGATAGGTCAAATAATACCTCACTAATGATATAATTGCTAATATTATTCCTTTTTAACAAACTCCTAAACAGTCTCAGATAACCAACTTTTTTTTGAAACCATGAACCTACAAAAATCAGAGCAATAGTTGAAAGGAAAAGTAAAAAAAATAGGGTTTTGGGATCAAAATTTGATTAAAACACTTTAATGTAACATCTGTCCTAAAAACCATACCAAAACAGTGTGCACAAATTGCCGCAAGCATCGGCTGTTGCCAATGCCTAATGTGCCAAGGATATTGGTATGGGGTAAGTTTCGAACAGAGGGCACAAACCTGGCAATGAAAAATTATCGAATTCCGCTCCCACCCACCCACCGTCCATTTATCCAGGGCTTCTTATTGGTTCCTAAGTTCAAATCTATCGAATTGACCAGCATGAGGGTCTTGAAAATCTCGAGAAAAATTGGATTCCAATTTTTTTCAGGAGATTCCGACTCTCGAAACTCCAACGCCTCCTTCAATATGGATGCTTCGACGGATTTGGAGGATTTTAAGACCCAGGTAAGAAAAAACGCAATATTTTTATAACGTATTTTGCAAGGAAATGCACCAGTCCTAATATCAAATTTTTTCTCAGGATCGAGAAGAGCACATCCTCCCCAAAGGCGACGTCCCCCAGCCACATTCATCCCAACAACACAATCAGCATCAGCAGTTTACGGTAATTCTTTCCACTTTTCAAAGAAATTCCTGATTTTTTAGCAAATCCCAATGATGACCTCCTTTCGAGACATTGCCTCCCATTCCCCGATGAACTCATCGCTGTACTCGATTGGCGGGAGATCAGATGTAAGTCGAGAGAGAGAGAGAGAGGGGGGAGGGGAGAGAGAACGAGAGAGAGAGAGGGAGAGAGAACGATATGGTCCTAGGAAAACATTGTATTTCCAGGTAGGGCCGGACATACCGGAAGAAGACGAGGATGGTACTTGCATACCTGCTAGGCGGAAAAGTTCGAGACAGGAAAGTATGTAACTTTCTAGGAATTTTTTGCAGTTTTAGACGGATTTTCAAAACTAATATGTATAAAGATACAAAAAGGTCGATAAATAAAAATACGTATAAAAAGGATACAAACCAGCTTATTTTCTTCTAGCTACGATGGGAAAATTCATCCGCTTGGACTCGACGGATGATGGCGAGAGAACGGAGACCGAGAGCAGAGGCGTAGTAATATTCACAAGGTATGGGAATCGCATGAATTAGCATCGATTTGTTGTGTCTCTATTCCTTTATATGCTCAGCAAGCCCTTTTTCAGCCGATGTTCTCCATGTTCATCGGGCTCGATGAGTCGACATCACCTGGCGAGCGTATGGTGTATGGAGGCGTACCCGAAGGAGTTCGAGGAAGAGCCATGATAGCAAAAAGACTGTCTGTTGCTTCTCTCTCGTCATTAACCAGCATCGACATGACGCCGAATCATGATGGTGGGTTTTAGCGTCAATGAAATCTAGTTGGGCTATCGTATCATACCTACCGTACCTTTAACTACGGTATTTTTTTAGGTAATGCGCCTATTGCGGATCGTACTCCTTCATGCAAATTAGCCTCCGATTTGCTGGAGATGTACATCGACAATAAGGACTCGGATGTGGTGATAAAATGCGATAACGGGGAGCTTTTCGCGCATAGGTCCGTCGCTCTCTCTCTCTCTATCTCTCTTCCTCTCTCTGTCTCATCTCATCCATTTTCAGATGCATCCTCTCCGCCACGTGCCCCTTCTTCCGCCAACAACTCCAAAAATCACGGCGAATCGAGCTGAAGGGCTACAACAAGTCCTCCGTCCACTTTTTGCTCTGTTTCCTCTACGGTGGGCTGACGGCGATTCCGGATGAGGTCGACACATGGGAGGTGAGCCTTATAGAGTGAGCATCATGTTTTTAAGAGAGGACGACAGGAGATTTTATGCTGTTTTATAGGTCCTCGCCCTGGCTACTCATCTGAATCTGAAGGACCTCATCGAAGTTGTCAGCTTACATCTGAAAGCTACGAAATGCCATTGGTTCCATAGGGTAAGTGAAAGCGAGAGAAGGAGAGAGAGAGCGAGAGAGATCGAGAGCGGGCGAGAAATGGTCATTTTTAGCCTTGCGCCGTCTGCGTCTCTGCCGTTTTCGACGCATTACCGCAATTTTACTCCATTAGATGCCTGAAGCCACTTTATGAAGAGGTAGTTGTTAAGTACGTAAGATTACTAATAACGTTTATAGGCAATCCAATGGCAAGCCAAGTACTTTGCCCGAATCTGGAAAGGGAGGGTATTTATGCATCTGAATGAGAGGTGGCTGAAGGAATGCTTTGAAGGAGTTATACAACAACTGGTAAGTCAGAGGGAGAGAGAGAGAGAAAGAGAGAGAGAGAGAGAGAGAGTGAGAGAACGAAAACGATTAAGTATTTCAAGGATGACGAGACGCTCATCGAAACGATTCTCGGCTGTGAACGGCTCCAAGTCGCGTTTTCTCGGTCTCGCAGCGAGGCGGCTTTTACCGTTCTGAACATGGTCAACGATATTCTGGACGTGGGAATGCAATACCTCATCCACTCTTTCCATTTGGTCATCACCAGCAAGAGTTTTGCAGCCCAAGGGAAGGTAAGTAGGGCAGTTTACGTCTTTAAGGGACGGAGACGGCATTTTTTGGCTATGGACTTTCCAAGTCATTAGCGGTCCGTTTAAAGTAAGAATCCCTTAAATTTCGGCCATAATACCGTTGTTTTTTAGGGTCTCGCCCTAAACCTGGGAATCCTCGAAGACATCCTCCCCACCCTGGTCCACAGCTTGTCCGCCGACGTCGCCATCAAGTCTTACCTGGGACTAGCTGACCTGCTGACCGAGATTCAAAGCGTCCCACCATCTCCAAAGAAGACTCTGTCGATTCCGATCGATGAGTGGAGCCCGGTAGGCAAAAAATGCCGTAAATTAGTGCTTCCTATATTTTATAGAGGTTCTACGTTCTCGTCCGTCGGCTCTACGAACTTGTTGATAAGCACCTGCTGCACTACGCCGCTTCGGTGGTCCGGGCGGAAGCTTGGAATTTGTTGAATGAAAGGGATCAAGTGCGGATAAGGGAGAGTGGGTTTTTGATTTCATAAAACAATAGAATTTCTATGCTCTCTCGCTCTCTCTTTCTCCTTATTCCTCTCTCACTCCTTATTTCTCTCTCTCTCTCTCTCTCTCTCTCTCTCTCTCTCTCCCGCCCTCTCAGACACACAAGCGACCACTCTGTCTTCACTCTCTCGCCCAATGTTTTCTCTCGCTCTCGCTCCCTCGCTTCTTCTAGCTCACTCTCTCTCAACCATACACTCTCTATCTCTCTATCACTCTCTCGTGATGTGGCTTTCTCTCTCTCCCTATCTCATTCTATCACTCTCGCCCTTCGTTCTCTCTCTCTGTTTCTCTCTTGCATTCGCTCGCTCTCTCTCTCTCACTCTCTCTCTCTCTCTCTCGCTTTCTAAATACTTTTTCCAGCTGGCATCTTCGTCGAAATGCGCCAACCAAAAGCCTCCATGCCGCGCTTCAGCAGCAACAATCGGGTACATAATTTTATTTTTTTTTGGTTCCGCCTTTTGGCTTACTGTGTGCCTGCCGCGATCAGTGGCTTCCTCGGGTCGTTTTTGTTTTCACTCTCCCTTGCTGAATCCCTAATTTGTTTACTTCTACATTTCTGCTAACCAACTCCATTTAAAGTGCCTTTTCTTTAGAAGAGCGCTCCCGGAAATACGGAAAATCCACAGGTTACTTATTAAAATTGTAGCTGCTATATGGATATTTTTCCCTTGTATTTTTTATACGTAGAACCTGGAGGTGTAAGGAGGTGCTTAGCGGAATTTTTTGGTCATTGCAATTAAATCAGCATTTTTCGTAGCGAAAAACGGCAATTACAACTTTATGGATTCCTGAAAATCTCATTTTTGCATCTGAAAATTCCGCCACATTCCTTCTCACGTCCAGATTGTGTGCAAAAATATACCTAGCGCTTGCCTGTAAATCCAAATTTTTTTCACTAATTTCTCCTTGAGCTCGAGTGTGCTTAAAATAGAGCATGAAGCGCCGCAAAAAATACCCAGAGAGCATGCTCTGTCCCAAATGGCTGCAAAATAATCTTTTACCCATTGATGGTATCGCTTTTGGTCCGTAGAAATTCTATTCTTTAGGCATACAAACGCAGTGCATCGGCTGGAGTGCAAATGGGCCATTTGTACACCCCGGAAAGGGGGAGGAGCCTGGAGCGGCACAAGCCGCTGACGATGATACAGCAAAAAGCTAGGGATCCTGAGTCGGAGCCGATTGAGGATGAGAAGGTGGGTGCGGAAGGGAGTACGAGCTAGGGCAGGCTAGCAGAGATTCTGGTGTGGTGTATTAAACGAGAGAGAACGAGAAAGAAAGAGAGAGGGTGAGAGCGAGAGAGATAGAATGAGAGAGCGAGAGTGAGCGTGAGATAGAGAGATCAATATGCCGAGACAGAGAGAGAGAGAGAGAGAGAGAGAGAGAGAGAGAGAGAGAGAGAGAGAGAGAGATAGAGAGAGAGAGGGCGAAAGTGATAGAGGGAAAGCGTGAGATGGAGCGCGATACACGTATCGGGACCGGGAGAGAGAGAGAAAAAAGAGAGAGAGAAAGCGAGAGAAAAATCGGGAGAGAGAAAGACAGGGAGAGAGAGGAGTAAAAGAGCGCAAAAGAAGGAGTGAGAGCGAGATAGTGAAAGCTGTAGAGATTGCTACGGTTTGCTGAGCTTGAGTTTTTGAATAGATCGTAACGGAGGACAAGAACAACCAAACAAAATCTAAAATTAATTTTCAGGAAGTCTTCGAAGAACCGAAACCGAGCACCAGCGCTGTAAAATCGCCAAAGATGGGCCAAGAAAACAAAACGACTCAACCGGCCGAGGCCAAGAAGCAAAGCCCAAGGCAACAGAGCCCCAGGAAGCCGCAGAGGCAGCCAACGCCTACGAAGGTAAGAAAACTTTATTGTACCTAGCAATAACTAACTGGTTTCAGGAAGAAAAGCCGCCTCAACCAGCAGAATCCGGAATTCCCAGACCGCGATCAAGCCGGAATTCATCCAGAGCAACTTCAAGAGAATCTACCCCAAGAACTGTGAAAGAAGTAACACCAAGAACACCAAGACCGGAAGCGAAAACCGAAGCCAAAGCTGAAGCTCCGGTCGAAAAACCAAAGCCAAAACAGCCAGATGCGGAAGTTAAGAAGCCGGCACCTCCAAAACCCGTCGAAATCGCGCCAGAACCCGAACCCAGCACCTCGAAGGGCCCGGAAATCGAAGCCATTGAAGCCAAGCCCGAAAGGGTCGAGAAGAAAGGAGCTGCAGCTGCTCAAACTGCTCAGAAACCGGCTACGAAATCAAAATCGCCGACAAAGAAGCGGATCCAGGATCTCGAAGAGGTTGGCCGGAAAAAATTGCACGGATTTATGGGGCGGGTGAAGAAGTTGTTTGGCAAGAATTGAATAGTGCATGCGGAAAGTTGGTGCTCAAAACTGATGATCAAGCTCAAAAATTGCTCAAAAAAATGTTCAAAATTGCTCAACTCAATCGGTTACGCTATAAAAAAACAAATCAAACTGCCCAAAAAAGGTAGGAAAATTATTTTTTTATCGTGAATCGAGCTTACAAAGAAATTACGAAAAATACTAAAAATGCTTCAAAACATCGATTGCAAAATGGAAAACGCATTAAATTCGGTTCAAAAGCGACAAAAAAGCCCATTTTCCAAATTCAGGCTAAAATTTGCTAAAAGTCGCTTGATCCAATCGATTACGTAACGATAAACGCGTTCCATAGTACTGGAAAGGAATATAACAAATATTTCTGGCTCGCTAAAGTTACTAAATGTAGCAGAACTCAATCGATTACGTAGTGAAAACAAGCTAAACAGTACCAAAAAAGCATCAAATTATCGATCAAAATTCTTGAATTATTCGTAGTTAGAAAAACCGGCAATTGTCTATGCTTATTCCCCAATTTTCAGCACAAAATGGAACGCCAAAACACGCACACCATCATCCACAACGATCCGGTGAGGACAGGTAAGCAAAAAAATCTGCATGCGGTAATTGAGCGCTTTTTAGCAAACCTTCCAGGCCCATCCCCGTTAAAAGACAATGGGGAAAAGCCAAAAAGCGTGGTGAAGCCGATGCCAAAAGCCGATCCACCATTGGCTGGGACTTCGAGGGTGGCAACTGTGCCGAAGCGGACTCCAACTACTGCTTCTGCTCCGGCTAAAAGTAATACTACCGCCGCGCCAAGTTCAACAAGGACTGGGATACCACAACCGAAGCCATCGGGGGAGGGTGATAACCGCTTCGACACCTCAACGACAGGGTCCAGCGCCGATCAAGGTAAGGCTTACTGTCCGTGCACATTTAAAGAGGCAGAGAGAGAGAGTGAGAGAGAGCGAGTGAGAGAGAGCGAGCGAGCGAGAGAGAGAGATAGAGAGAGGGAGAGAGCGCAAGAAAGAGAAAGAGAGAGGTCGAGAGAGAGCGAGCAACAGCGACATGGAGAGTCAGCGAGAGAGGAGAGGCGGATAGCCAAAGCGAGACCAGGAAATACAGTGGGTACTATAGCGGAATATGAAGCTCTCACACGCCCCTTAAACCGTCCATTTCCAGACCACTGCTTCCGCCGAGGCCAAGAAGCGTGCTGATGCCTCGCCACGGGCCCGAAGCCCCAGAATCCGGACACGAACTGCTAACCCAAATAACATTGAAAACTAGCAACATTTACCCCCCTACCCAATTAGCCAACTTTTAGGGTATCTATGATTCGGTTCACCCCTTTCTCTTTCTACTCACAAATTCACGAGCTTGAACTACAACCGATAGATCTCAAAATTGTACAAATATATGCAAATTTTCTTGGGTTCGATTACAGTACACTGTCCACTTTTTTGTGTGTTTCACGAGCCGAAGAACCTTGTGCGCTTCCTTCTATTGCTGGGTATAATTACCAAAAAAATGTATGCTTTATTTCTTTAATCTATCCCAATACAGATAAGTATTACACACAAACACACAGAATGGATGAGGGTTCGATATGGCCATTGTCGATATATTACCGCATTAATGGAGGACGGAAGAGAAACTAGGCGTATGGGCATGGCTCGTCGTCGCCGTGCTTCTGAAAAACTTCAATAAAATTGTTGAAGCGCTTGAGTTTATCCCTAAAGAAGCTCTAAGGATTGTCAAGAGGGATAGAGAGAGAGAGTGAGAGAGAGAGGGTAAGAGAGAGAGAGAGAGGGTAAGAGATTCCGTTAGAAACGGTTTTCCTACCTTGACACATTCATAGGCCTGTAGCTTCTTGTGCGAATCCCACTGTGACATCCCGCTCGACTCGACGACTCCTGAAAAATTCAATTTCCGGTCCCGTTAAACCCATTTTTTAAAATGTCCCTCATTAAAAATTAAAAAAGGGAGTAATTATCTGTGAATTCTTACCTGCCAAAGAGCACGGAATCTTTTCCCGATTCACGAAATGGTGTAAAAGACCTCTGGCCTTCTTCAACACCACTCGAGCATCCATGTGGTTGGCTAGGGAAGAGAAATAGAGCAAGATCTCGTCGTGCGGCAGTTTTTGCGAGATGATGTCGGGCCCTGAAGGTCAAATTAGGGATAAATGGATGAATGTTGTGGTTGCTTCGACTATCGAAGCCCGAGACAGTAAGACAGAGAGAGCGAGAGAGAGAGAGAAAGAGAGAGAGATAGAGAGAGATGAGATAGAAAGAGAGAGCGCGTAGATACGTCAAATTTTAGATAATTACCTACCGTAAATGGATACAATCGCGACACAAACGAACAGATGAAAGTATTGGGTACGGTATCGAACTAACCACCGCCTCCCAGATGTGAAGCGCATCAGATTCGGCAAATTCTCTCTAAAATCGAGATTGCATAAATTGATGGCTAGCCTGTCACGCTCCCTTTAATGCAAGCAAAATGTGTATAAAATACAGCTGTATGCAAAATAAAGTACGTGAAAACAAATTAGATCAGGACGCAGAATTTGAAATTGGGGCCATACCTTGAAAAAGAGCAGAATCCACCGGTGCACAAACATGAACTGCAACGAGTCACCACCCAGCTGTACAGAGGTAGCTGAACACCCAGGGACGAGGAGCTTGATGAGCTCAAGAAGGTATTCCTAGACTTAACATTGCCAGCGATAACATTATTTTTTACCAAATTCTGCTCCATCAGGCTTTCACTGACTTCGTTGAACAACGTCTGTTGGACCAGCCCGACGAAAACAACAGAACTCAGATTCATCTCTGGAGACTCCATCGTTAAATCCGAATCAAAAGATTACTTTTAATGTGCTGAGCAGAGGAGCCAGAAGGTCAGACATCCCCCGGGAATGTATCCAACATCTGGATACATGGCAGCGTAGTTCAGGAGGATATCTCGCAATTTATGGTTATATAATTTTAAGAGGCTTAAAGGATCTATTCTAGCCTTAAATCCTCCCAGATTTTTTGATACTCACTTTTTCGAGGGTATCTTGAACTTTTCGGAATTTTTATATTTGTCGCTTTGGTTTGGGCCATTTTGCCTGGTACGCCTAGTAATTGCCCGGTGTTTACAACTAAAAAATTCTTTATTACCAAATATCCACATTTTCAAAGGCTTGAAAGGTTCTCCGCAATCTTGCCCCGATTTTCCCAGTTTAAGGTGTGAGGTCTTTGCTAGCTTTACGTTCTTTTTATAGTTCTCGCCGTCGTTTTGAGTCATGCACTTTCCCCTAATGCGCCAAATTACATGACGTGTACGATTAGAGAAAGGCTCATTTCTACATACCTCATGATGTCGACGTTCGGGTTCTCATCCCCGCGAAGAATGGATTCTTCCGATCCGTCCTCACGACATCCTTCACTACCGTATTCTCAAGCTCCGTCCCAGTGCTTCGAGCTGGCCGCTTTCTTCAGTCTAAAAACAGATAAACTTTTAGGAAACAAAAAGTGCCAACCCTCTTCCTCTTAATATTCTGATATTCCAGGAACAAGTCATTTCTGATGGTTTCCCGCTGCTCCACTGTCGATTCCCATGGGTACACCCGGAGTAGAAGGGCCAGATTTCCTTTCGCAGATTCGGCTCCATTGAAGCAAAGTAGAGGGCCTGAAATTACAGGAATATTAACGCTATCGAATCTTTTTTGGTTCTGTCTGTAGACGCGTGCATACGCGTCTACGGTTTTTCTAAGGCTTGCACTAACGAACTGTAAGCGCGCGACGACGACAGAGTTGTCCTCTCCTAGCGCTACTACTAACCTTCCGGATGGTCTGACTATCATGGAATTGCGCCCTCGGCATTTTTGAACGTCTTCCAGTAATCCCAATGCACCCTCTCAAACAGCCCATCCTCCGGATCGAGCCTGTTCTTCTTCACGGCAGGCTGGCAAACAAGAGATGACGATCCGGGGCCGGGGAGGGGCTGCCCTAAACTCACGTTATAATCGCGTAATTGAAGCAGATTTGTCCGTATTTTAAAGGGACGGACAAGGTATGTCTATGCAATGCAACGTATGCAACGCACACGCGATGCGTTCATCCAGACTCCCAGAGCCGAAAGTGCCCAAAAGTTTTTTGCTATAACTTTTTTTAGCTTAAATTATTTGGGCTGTAATTCACAAGTTTTAGTATATTTTTGATGCGCTATTAAATGGCGTAATAAATCCTGATAAAATAGCGTAAATGGCAAAAAATCTTTAGAACTTCCGGGAGACGGTAAATTTAAAAGGCCGTTTGCGAGAGGACCGAACAATGCTTGGCACAGTTTTTCGACCTCTGTTTTTGACGGCACGAGTGAGCATAGTCAAATTAGTAGGGCCGCATAGTTTGAAAGTTTAAAAAGTTTATTTTTAGGGTTAAAATTGGAGTCAAAGCTGCCGACCGAAATTATCTCGAAAGTTACCGAACCAAATTGGCTGAAAAGTTGGCACAGTACCTAATTCTGGGATGCTGATCATTTCTCTAATACATCGAAAAGCACGAAAATGAGCGGAACATGGTTAAATCACGTACCCAAAACAGTTTTTCAGGTTTTGGATTTTACGGTTCTTTGGCGGTCCGTTATACATAACCTGAAGATAGCGCAAAAAATTCTACATCAAATGATGTAGTTTATACCGGGCCGACAGAAACCCTACTCTTGTTATGAAGCATGTACTGCAAGCAGTAACAGCCCCCAAAATTGGTCAAAATCCCGAAAAATGACCACCTTGGAAATCGAATAGCATCAAACCATATCTAGAGAACGAGCTGAGTCGATTGCAAAAAAGAGCAAAAAAGAAATTTGGCTTCGAATATAGGCTGAAATCCGGGGAGGAATCGAACTCCGACCCTTCGCCTGAAGCCCTCTGGGGCCGTGGTGGATTGCATGAGTGCTCGCCTACCAATCCAAGGGCTGCGCTAGTTCAATCCCAGCCCCCTTCAAAAGCAATATTTCTTTTTGCTCTTTTTGCAATGGACTCAGCTCGTTCTCAAGATATGTTTTGATAGAACTGGATTTCAAAATTGGTCATTTTTGAGGCTTTTGACCCATTTTGGGGCTGTTTTGCGCAGTAAATGCTTTATAGCAAGAGTAGGGTTACATGTTGGTCTGGTGGATAAAATACCTCATCTGATAGGTATAATTTTATGCGCATCTTTAAGGGTATTTTCAACGGACCGCCAAGAACCCGTAAAATACAAAAACCCTGAAAACTGCTTTGGGTACGTGATTTAGCCATGTTCCGCTCTAATTTTCGTGCTTTTCGATGTATTAGGAGAAATGATCAGCATCCCAAATTAGGTACTGTGACAACTTTTCAGCCAATTTGGGTCTAGTAACTTTCGAGATAATTTTTTGAGGGTCGGCAACTTTGACTCCAATTTTAACCCTAAAAATAAACTTTTTAAACTTTCAAAACTATGCGGCCCTACTAATTTGACTATGCTCTTCCCGATGCCGTCAAAAAAACAGGTCGAAAAACCGTGCCAAGCCATGTTTGGGTCTGTTCGGTGGCCTGCGGATCGCCTTTTTAAGTCTAGTCGAACAGCGAACCTAGCGAATTCTTTTTCAGGATCCATATCAACAAAGATTCCGGTCAAGCCTTGCATGTCCCTTTAAATCTCAAACTTGCGCTCTCTATTAATACCTCTTTCACCGATCTCGCCTTGATCGCCGACCATTGCTCAAAGAGTTGCGCCAGCTTGTCGAGCCCACCGTGGTGAAAGTGGAGAATTTTGTAGTGCGAGTCGTGGTGGCTGTGAAACAAGTAATCTCCAGCCTTTAGCTCCAGCTTCTTACCTATGACAAGCTGCCCTGACGTATTTTCCGGATTCGAGAAAACAGCCTCATCGTCCGTCGTGACATTTTCCAAAAGCAATTAAAATACTAAAAACGCTTTTAAAACCCACCCAAATTCACTGAAAATAGACTCGCTGAACTTGCGCGGCTGCTGAACATGGCTCGGCCTCTGGCAACGTCGACCGCGCCGTCGTCTGTTGACTTAAAATCGTTTTAAAGGGACGCGGAACGCAAAGGTTTTGTAGATTTCAGTCATAGTTTAAATCCAAACCTTCTTGATCCTTCAGAATCATATCGTGCCTGGTGGGGCGAACTGCTCGGGAGTGGCGGATAGGATGGTGGCACCTTACTTTGAGCTTTTCCGGATCGAGGCAAGTTCTGGAATTAGTATAGCTCTATTAATCTTGCTTTCTCTCTTTCCCTCCCCCTCTCTCTCTCTCTCTCTCTCTCTCTCTCTTTCTCTCGGCCTGGCCCCTATTGCGAAAAAGGCGTCTCACGATCATGTCGTCTCATTTAAAAAACGTATCATGGCTAAAATCCACCTCACTTTTCGGCTAGGTGTCGGTCTTATTAAAAATGCTCTTGCTCAAACAGCTCGGATTTTGATAGCATAGGAACTTTTTGACCTGCCCTCGCCTCCGTTGTTAGGAGTGTCGCGTAGCTGTCCAGCTCTAGTCGATGCAATGGGTAGATTTTTGGATTTTCCAGCACCTTTCAACTCAACATCACTAACCTTTCGGGTCCGCAACAGATTCATCACAGGAACTGCTACCCTCGTCTTTATCCTGAAAGCTCATCAGCCCCGGAGGTAGATTGCGAAGAGACAGACGTCGCATCCGACTGGACGGACTAAAAGGTGCAAATGTTCACATAGATCATAAAATTAGATTATTTCTACAGTTACTAAACACTCTTACACACATTCGGATGTACAAATCAAATATGCAAATCG